CACTCTTGTGTGATGTAAGGAAAGGTTTGGCTCTGTCGACACCCCAAATGCGACCACGCTGTAACAACACTCCGCTTTATTTGTTTTGTCATTTACAGGAAGTGCACTCTGAGGAGATCGACACCGACTCGGCCTACATTCTCTTCTACGAGCAGCAGGGAGTCAACTACTCCCAGTTCCTGCCAAAGATCGATGGCAAGAAGATGGCCGACACCAGTAGCATGGATGAAGACTTTGAGTCAGACTACAAGAAATACTGCGTCCTCCAGTGACCGCAGCTCGTCTTCCATCAGCCAGCACTACGCCCGCTCGCCTCTTTCAGCCTGCTGCTCTGAACAGGAAGCGCCAGAAGATCTCACGAACGGCTGACAGTTGAACCGCGCGCCGTCTTTATGGCTGCTTCGCAGCACTTTCTAAACTCGACTGCAAACACGGATCGGTGAAAAGGTTTGCTAAGACAACAGCGAAGCCCCTCCCTGTGAAAGCACCCGACCGGTGCACTTTGCTGAGCCCGACGAACTCCCATCAGCTCCCACCCCGTGATCCTCGCCATGACATAGATGTAAAATATACTTGCACACTAACGCATCTCTGAATGTATGGCAGTACGGCCGAGTCATGCAGCGATGTTGCTTTCTTATCGTGCACTCATCACTTGTGATGTCAGGATTCAAAACAAAAGACGGCTTTTTCTACCCAGAGTCACGATTTGACCTGAGCAGGGAAAAACCGATGTGCTCCAGGCGTGAGTCCCTGCAGGCCTACGGATGCCAACTGTACACGGGGCCCAGCGTTCACCGTGTGCTGGAGTCACGTTTGGTGCCACGGGAGACGACGGATGCCCGGGCAAGCTTTCAAACCAATGGTTCTGCTGAGGTTTTATTAGCGATAGTGTGAGCAGGAAAACACGCGTCATACGCTACCTCATCGCTTCCTGCATTCTTTCAGCCAACTGGACCCCAAAAGTCTGTGACAGTATTAATATCATGAAATGCTTCCTTTTAGTGTAGGACACTCGGTACATGCATTCAGGAACACCCCCACAAAGACCCCCCTCCCCTCCCAGGACACTCGGGTCCTGATGTTCACATCAAATTCGGCACGTTTGCCAAAAGCTGTGTTTGGTCCTGCAGCTGCCAAGTATCCACGGTGATTTGTGCAATGTTGACCAGTATGTAGCCACGGCGACAGAGAATCTGGGTTGGGGTCAGGTGCCATGATTTAAAAAGTTGTACGGTATATGTTTAAACGCTTTTTTTGATTGTGTAAATGTGTCATTTTAGAGGATCTGCTTTATTTTTTTAGTTTTTCTTAGAGTTGCTTCAGGCTACCTAAAGGCCCCACCTGTACACACCAGGCACATCTCCACGGGCTGATGCAAACCTCTGCAGTTCTCTGCTGTCCACCCAAACCTGGACTTCCTGCGTCCATCACAGCCAATTATTTTACTGTTTGTTATTTTAAAAGTGTCAAAACTGAAGAACCAGAGATTTTTTTATTTGCTCAAAGCCTGTAAACCACATTACCCATAATGCTATTCAGAATCCAGCTTTAGCCTTTATTACTGTGTCTCATGTGGCTTCTGTGCTTACACTTCACTTTGCTCACATTCGAACGAGTCCCACAGATCGCTGTGAGTGTTTCTCACCTTGGCTGCTTCGCACAGAGGCAGGGAAGCCTTTGTTAACCATGAGTGTTTCATGTGTTGCACTGTTGGGTTTTTTGTTTTTCACACAACTAGAGCAGCTTTGCATGATTCACAGTTCAGGTACTTTTGGTTGCACCGTGCAAACGTGGAGTTGGAAAAGCACCTGGGTTCTACCTTCTGTCCCTGAAGCGGTCATAGTTCATATATCTACTCTCAGTGAATTCATACAGACCTGATAAACCTTCCTGGACTGTGAGGTCAGAAGTCACGCTGTTTAATATGAGCAGTGACTTTTGCACCAGTGTGTGCACGATAGGAAATAAGGAAGAGCTCCTTCAGTGTCGAGTGCGGACGTGCACTCATAGATCGGACGGATATCTAACAAATATCTCCGATAAATTCCCACTTGTGTGATTTCTCTCCCGTGTCAGAGTTCACACACTGTGTCAGACAGTTTGTAGTGTACTGACACGAGTATTTCATTTGAGTGAGAGGCGAATGCAACGACCAATGGAGCAGCTGCAGAGGGTTGGTCAGTCGCGTCCCTCCGACTCCACATCATTACATTTTTAAAGCTTCCATCTTGTATTTTTGAGTTGTTTTAACGTGTAATAGGAACAGAGCTCCCTTTTAACAGCCTCGGGTTCAATGCCGCTTAGCGCACCTAAAACCTGCAGCATGAGTGTATAAAGATGCAGTGAAGTATCGCTGCAGTGGTCCCACCTCCTGCTGCTTAGGGGATCATAGATGCTCCTGGAACACTTTTTATTAAAAAATGAATCTATGGATAACCACTTGTTGGCTAGCTCACTGGCTACAGCCTCCATACTCTGGTATATTAGTCACTTGTGCACTTGGCCACATCTGCCCTGCCGTGTATGAGCAGCCTGCTTGTGAATGACGCCACCAATGCAAGCGTTCACCTTTCTGAGCTTTCTGGGTATGGAGCCTGGAGAGCCGTGTGAGGTGCCCCGTCCTGTGCAGTCTGATCGCTGCAGCAGGGGTGCTGAAACCATGCATTTGTGAATGGGTACCATCAAAGCACAACACAAACTGTAAGGTCTTACTCCAGCTTCTGTAGTTCTAGCAGGTCTTAATGCCCAGTCTCAATAGACGGACTTTCACAATCTCATTTTAATAGCTTAGTGTTTCATATCTTAAACCAGTTTCCCCCTTTTCCTCAGCTGAGCCATCCAGTGGGCCAGCCACACCCTGATGGGTGTCCAACAAAAGCGAGTGACATGTCAGTGTAGACGGAGCAGTGTCCATTTTTAATGATTTCATTTCTTAGCTGCTGGCATAACGTTTGATGACTGGGATGATGGTTTCTGGTGGAAATGAATAAATATTGAAACTTTTTCAGGAAGTTCTATGAAAGTTTTAAGAAAAATCAAATAAGTGTCTTAGAACGTTTTCACCTTTTGCTGGGATGTTTTCAGGGAAATGATTTGGAAACAACCATCCCCCCGTAGACAGATGTGCTCACGTGTGGAAAGTAACCAAAGTCTGTTTGTGTGAGGAGCGTAAATGCATCGCTACACGACTGGAGCCAACGTTCGAGCAAATGATTTGTTTGTGTGGGTCAGAGTGCTGCCGTTCCTCCTTTCCTCTGAAGGTTTGGCTGCTTCGACGTGGCTGCTGAGGTCTCTTTGAGATGGACGAGCCCATGTTTTCACCGCGTGGTTCCAGCTGCAGAGTTCTGTGTGTCTGCTTTGTAGCAGCAATGGCGGAGCTCCTGTCACGTCAGGGGGCTCCGTCTAATCACTGTGAACAGACGGCAGACTGTCGATGGCGCCCGGCTTCGTCTCCTGGAGCGCAGAGCCTCGTCTCTGCGTTCGTCCCCTTTTTTAGCTGCTGTATTTGTGATGAGACGACTTTGTTATGGATGTACTTGGAGATAAATCTGTCACTGAATGAAACTTTATTTCCTTCTGCAAAGATCACATTTGTTGAACAAATGGAAATGTACATAAGAGTGTTATTTATGTTTGCTTGGCCAGCTCTTTTTCTTTCCCCCTCCACCCTCCTGCCGTCGCACTGAGCTGTAGACAGTGTCCAGTTTGTGTCTGTGGTTGAAGGTTATCACAGGACTCGAAGGAAAAATTGTCCCTTGAGAGCTCAGTTTGCAATGTTTGCTCTACTTAAAGGTGCAATAGATGTCAACTTCTTTCTTTTTCTCTTTGTTTCTTGGGCTGTGAATGTGCCCTCAAACGGCCGGTAGCGTAATCTCTTAGCAGAAAGGTTTCATGTCGGGGTTACTTTCAGCACAATTTTTCTAATCCAGGAACGAGGATTTGACGCCCAGGGAAACTGGACTATCTCTGAAACTGGGCAAGCACGGATTCTGTAGAACACCGGGCTAGCATCTGAAGCCCCGCCCCCCAGGAAGATTAGTTCACGGTGTCAGGCAGTGCGATCGACTACTGAGCTGTCTTTCAGTGTGTGTAGCTTCTTTTTTTATTTAAGTTCATATCTGTCTGATGTGAACCAGATGTGTTAATTTAATAAACTTTTTTGTAAGGTGTTCGTTGGAAGAAAGTCACATTGCACTGACATGAAAACGTGTACATAAACAAAACGTGTTTTGTAAATAAGCCAATGAAAACTATGTATTTGAATATGAACTGTACAAAATACTGTACCTGTAGTTGTGTATATGGAGTGATCCTGTTGATCTGTAACGAAATACCCAAGCAACAAATTAAATTCAGCAAAGGAAATGACATCAGAGTCGTTTTGTTGTGGTCACAACCCTGATCTGACATTTCAGGCAATTTGCGTAGACTTGTGAAGTAGAACAGCCTCGTTGATCATCTCAATTTAATGCCACAAGCAGGAGCAAAGCATCACGCAGACAAACGATCCAACTCGATGGTGTCTCTTTATGTTTGGCCATAAGTTGACTGAACTCCGACATATTTTTAAGCTCCTTCGTGTCAGGCTGTGTGCGGCAGGCAGGAATGGACCCGAAGCGCCGACTGCAGGAGGTCAAACTTAGAAACTTAGATTTATTAGAAAAACAGGAAACTAACTTAACCTCCTGAGACCCGAACTCTTTCACAGCATGCATTTTTAATTTCTCTTTGCTATTTAGGCTGACTGGGATCTGATGAATGTAAAAACTAAGAATTACCTTGTTTTTGTTTTTTACCTGATGTTTGTTGCTGAGAAAAATGAGATCCACACATGAGGACATTCGTTTTAAATTTCGATAGAACAGTGGCAGGATAACGTCCTCATAAGTGGATATCAGGCCCTTGTAGAGCAAAACTTAGTATTTTGGTCTAAACAACCCAAAATGTGACGTCCACGTGTGGATGCCAGGTCCTCGGAGGTTCAACTGGAAAAATGAACAAGGATTAAACAGGTAGAAGACACAGCATGAGAGGCATCGTGAAACAGACCAAGGAAAACACAGGGCTTAAATACAGAGAAGGATGACGAGGGAATGAGACACAGGATGAGAGCACAGCTGGAAACATTAACAGACGCAGACTGTCAGTAAAACAGGAAACCACACAGCAGTGTGAACCTGACATGAAAAGGCATATACACAAAACCTAAGACTGGAAATCAGGAGATACTAACTAAAAAAGAGAAACACTAAGTCACAGAATATAGACAAAATCAAAACCACTGACCACCAGACCCAGGTACCCCAACACTTTCAGCTATTCCTTCATCCCCAATTGATTAAAGCAGCCAACGGCCTAAAAGTTCCACATTTACCTCACAAGTTTCGAGTTAACATAATCAGACTGTAGTAATAAACTAACTTGGCTCCTTCATGTTGCCTTCCCAACCCAGCAGAGTGACTTTTGTCGAGGTTGAGCTACTTTATTTTATCCATATTTGGAATACAGTCAATGTCTTCGCTGTAGGGGAAGTAAGGCTGCAACCACAGCTTCATGGGCTCTGCCACAGAGCTTCCTCCTGGTTAGACGTGCCTGAAACACACTTGCGTATAAGTCATCCAGTAAGTTGAGGTGGTCTGCATATCTGACTAGATTCAACCTTCTGATGTAGACCAGATTCTTCTGGGCTCATTTATACCACTTGTTCCTTTGGACCCTTCTCATACCGCACTGCTGCAGGAGAGCGAGGTCCTTCCTTGGAGGGTGCTGGACTCCATGCATGGTAAGGAGCTTCTTTGTTTCAGTGTCAGTGGCTTTTATCTCTTATTTTGTTGGTTGCAACTTTCCTGGTGGCCTCTTCATGGTTCCAAATTGCCTCTGTGTCCCCCCAAAGGTACTTGTAGGTGTCTGCAATGTTGCCCTGTCTTTGTTACCATGTGACCACACTTGTCCAGTCCAAAGGCATTCCCATGTTGTTGTTGTGGATCAGTGAGTTGGTGTCTTGTTCACTCCTGGCATGAGGCTTGATGTCGTCCATCTAGAGGTGGTTAACGACTGCTCCATCCATGGGGTTCAGGGCTATGCAGAACAGCTTTTGGGACAGAGCATGTGTTAGACCCTAGACTTGATGGCAACTTGTGGTATTGACTTTTAGTTGGTCTCTGTTCCCCCATCAGATTCCTGAAGAAGGTTCTCAGCATCACACTGATCTTGTACAGTTCTAGGCAGTCTAGAGAGTCTAGAAGTCTAGAGGGTCTAGAAGTCTAGAGGGTCTAGAAGTCTAGAGGGTCTAGAAGTCTAGAGAGTCTAGAAGTCTAGAGAGTCTAGAAGTCTAGCGAGACTGCTCGAACAGTGGTTGGTATTTTGCCCCTCTGGTGTTTCTGCCAATTCCTTGGTTATGTATTGAGCCATACACCTATCCATCTTGCTGCTATAATGCCTAAAAGGGGCTTCCATGTAGTGCTGAGACAGGCGATTGGCCGGTAGTTGGACATGACTGATGTCCTCTGGGGATCTTTGGGGATCAGGACTATCCAGCCTTCAGTTAGCCATTCTGGGTGTATCTCATACATCAGCAGCTCGTTAATTTGTGCTGATGGAGTGTAGTTAGCTTCTGTAGCTTTAGCTTCTGTGAGTCATTCTGCCACTGTGATGGTTGCTGTGGTGTGCTCTTAGAGCCACTGAGCATTGTTGTTATGTGTTGCGTGCTTCACCGGTCCTCTCTTTCAGTGTTGCTCCATCTCCAGCCTTGGTGGTGCTGTTCTCATATTGTTTATCTCCCAGAGGTTCTATTGGACGTGGGTCCAGCAAGCATGGAGACCAGGCAGTGGTATCCTCCAGGAACTGCCTGCATAATCTGGTCACATGAGTCCGGGCACTGTCGTGCACCAGGTGGAAAGCAGGACCCACTGCACCAGTACAGGGTCTCACAAGGATTTCATCCTGATCTCTAATAGCAGCAAACTGAGTAACGGCCCCTCCTGCTCTTTAAAGCAACTGACTCTGGTTGTGAAACGATCCTCACAATAACTGATGATTTAATTTAGTTTTTACCCGAAAACAAAGAAAAAATTCATTTTTATGAGGTTTTTTATCAGACTTAGATTCAAAATGGAATAAAAAAAATTGTGTCAAAATGTTTGAATTAAGTTTTAATTAAAAGTGGGGAAAAATCCACTTCATATTAATTAAGTATCAATCAAACCAGATGGGGACATTTCTGACCCCTGAGGACCACAGCTGTGATTATGTGCTGCCATTTAAAATTTATAAATGCTTCAAAAGAACTTTCTCACTACAGTTCAACATACAGCACTCTGTAGTTAGACAAACAGTCAAAACAATCTTTTATTGTCTCGTTTTATTTTCGCTCAAAAACAAAGTGTACTTTATGTAAACAAGGTCTGGTGGCCCTAAAATGTTGGGTAAATTTTGTGTTAATGTGTTGGTCTTAAGTAAAACTAAGGTGTAACACTGAATTGATTGACAATTTATACTTTAAAAAACACTCAAATGAAGTGGGGACATTTCTGACCTGAGGACCACAGCTGTGTGGAAATCGGGAGGACATTATGAGGGTTAATTGAGCAGAGCAACATCCCACAAGTTTAACTGATTATTAAAAAGTTTTCCTTTAATTGTATTTTTTGGAGATGTCTATACGTGCTCACCCCAGTTTACCACTTTTTACTGCAGAGGAGCTCTCTACAGCGCGTGCTGTGCGTATCTCTCAGCCTCCCACACATGCCCGGGCTCCACAGATGTCACACTACATGCACCTACAGCGAGTTTTGGCAGACGGAGGGTAGACCACAAAGCCCTGGACCTTCATTTCTTTGCATGGAAGTCTTTTAAACTTGACTTTTTATTTGGTTCAAACATGTTAGAAACAGCAGTGGTTTTACATGATTGTGCTCGTCATAACGAAGAAGTGCAGCAAATTTAAAACAGTTTTGTTGTCCTTTGTTGTCCTTGCTCAGTGTTTTGCAGTCAGCTAACAGACGAGAGAGGAAACCACACATGGGGGCTTTGCAGCAGCTTCTCCGAATTAAACAGCGCTACTCTTTCTGCCTTGCGCACCAGTCAGGGGCTTTTCCGCCTCTCGCCTAATCCTGACTGACATTTTTAGTTTTTAGTGTCAGAGCAGAGAGACTGTGACTGTGGAAAATGACTGCGTCAGTGTGTTTAAGTCGGTACTTTAACACTAGATTAACTTTTGGGTGTGATTAAATTTAAAATGTTTGTACTTTAGATGACCTGTTGATCTGGTTCTCTTTCTGTTGGCAGCCCCAACAAGCTTATGAAAGCTGTCCTTAAACATTAAAGTGAGGTCATTTTTCAGAACAATAAACTACCCGACAGTAAATAATGTGCTTAAAACGAGCTCCATCAAATAATCAATGTAACATTGTTACATTGACATTGTTACTGTAAGTTGCACAGATAACGTCTTCGAGTCTAACTTGAGATTATGTCGTTAGTACTGTGGTATTTCTGTTTTTGCTGCAGTAAGAGGCGGTAAACCAAAGAGTTAAAAGAAAAAAACAGTTTGCATGATTAAAGGTTTTTGACGAACTTTCATACTTCTACAAACTGACCGAGCATCTGCAGCGTTACTGCGTGAGCTGGGAGAGCTGACACGAAGACAGTTTAGTGTGAAGTGGACTCACACTCATTCTAGAAATCAGCGTGAGGTGAAACAGCGCATCTCAAACCACTTGCTGCTTCACTTCATTTCCTCTGATTGTCTTGTGGTTGATGTACTGTGAGAGCTCCTGCTGAACACAACACGGGTCAGACATTTTATCCAGCACAAGGCGGATTTTTGAATTTTTAAGTGGGACCGAGCAGAATAAATACTGTCTGGTGTCTGACTGGCAGGCTTAGGCGAGAAGAATGGACTTGATCAAAGTTGTCACAGAGCACAGGTAGGGCTTTTTCATTTAGTTACTCTCTTCCTGTGCTTTCTTTGTATTTTGGGCTTCAGTGAATCAGCTCTATAAAAAGAAACGTTCTAAACGTTCTTCCTATCGCTGTTCCAGACCAGCCTGATGTTCTTTTACCAGTTTGTGCCAGAAAACAAACACTGAGCAGAGGACATGGCGAACTGTCCAGGTGAGCTTTCAGTTGTGTACTCCGTTGTATACACCCTCAGCGGTCTCCTCTCCTTCACCATCGTGGTGTTCACAGTGCTGGGAGCCGTGTGCATCAGAAAGTAAGTCCATTTTAAGTTCTTTAAAAAGGCTTTTATTAACGACGTGACCTCAGTCTCACTTGGTCTGTTTGCTACATTTTATGTTCAAATTAAGCTGACTGTCCTCACCAAAGCTGCAACAGTAACAGCAGCATTATTAAATAAAACATAACAATTTCCCTTCACGTACTTTAGCGTGAATATATTATAAGATCAGACGTTAATAAAAGCCCATTTTTGGCCACACTGGCTTCACGGAGGCAATGAGCCGCTCAGGTTCTAACCGCTATAACGGTTTCCTTAAAGTTTGTCTTTGCTTGATTGTGAAATGTACCTCTCACCTGCTGTGTGAAGTTTGGTGTAGACGTTTATTTCCCTTTTTACAAAAGTGAGATGTCCTTCTTTGATCGTCTCATTTCCTGAGATCTGCAGTCTTCAGATTTCAGTGTTTATGTACTTTTAAAGTAGAACGTGAAAACACCGAAGATGAATTTAGTTTTGTTGCTCAGCCTTTGTATTATTCTTATTCTTATAAATGCATAGCGCCATAGGTCCAAAAACAGATGTTATCCACTGTAAGAGATCGTGTTAACATAGACTCATAATGCAGATGTCTACGGACCTACTTACAGCACCTTGTTAGATGTTTCTAATATTTTGGCGTCATATGTTATCTTTCAGTATTAGCAGACAATCCCATTCAAATGTGTCGCTGTTTTGAAATGAGCCAAAAAGAACACCTGGCCAGCTGTTCTCAGCTGTTCCTCGTTTATTCTGAAAACACATTTTTATTTGTGCAGCATGTTACCAACTAAAATGATGGTGCATTACAAAAAGTGGAAAAGTGAAAAATAATAGCAAAAAACTGACTTATTCAAAACGAATGTTGAGTCAGGGTCAGCTCTGCAGCCTCCATCTGAATTCATGTCTGTGTGATCCAACCACCAGTTTTAGCTCGTTTTTTAGAATAAAGCTCCCAGACTCGGTCATCTGTTTATAGATAATGTATTTCTAGATAGATGTGATTTGTTTTCATTAAGGTTAGGAATATTATCACTGTTGCCTCCTGGGTCTGAATGCGCTGTCTGGCTGGGAGTGTGTGGAGTCTGGATGTTCTCCCCGTGTCTGAGTGGGTTCTCTTGGCTCCTCCCACAGCACAAAGACACGCAGTTAGTGGGTTCAGGTTAACTGGTGAGTCTAAATCACCCATAGGTGTGAATGTGAGTGGTTGTCTATCTCTCTGTGTTAGCCCTGCGACAGACTGGCGACCTGTCCCAGGCGTGACCTTCCTCTCACCCTGTGGTAGCTGGGATAGGCTCCACCCCCAATGACACTGACAAGGACACGTGGAAGAGACTGGATGTCTGGATCTTTGGTTTATGTGCAGTGTCACTTACAGTTACACCGTTTAGCTCCGAGTCCCAAACTGTGTGTCGTCAGACTTGCTGCTCCTGGTTTAGTAAGGCAGCCGAGTGTTTCGCCTCCGTACCTGGGTCGGTGTTACCTGTTCTACTGTCCACGTTATTTTGCAGATACCGATCCGCTCTCAAGACAATCAGATTGCTCCGGCAGAACAAGATGCTGATGAGTGCTGTGCCTCGGGTAGAGCCTCCCCTCTTACCTGCGAGGCCGATCCCAGTTGTGGTGGAGGAGGAGGAGGAGCGGGAACTTCCTCCCAAATCTCCACTCCGACCCAGCACTTCAGCCAGGTCTCCGTCCAAGAAGCTGTGGAAAGGTCTGCAGCAACTGCAGCAGGTAGCGCTGATTCACAGATATCTTTGTGTTCCTGCTGTAGACACAGAAGATGAACCTTCAGATGATGATGGATTTCGATTTCACATGTTCTGTTTGGTGCGGTTCTACCTTGATGATGTACGAACGGGTCTATTTCAAATTCAAGGATCCTCCTTTCACCAAGTCAGACCTGAACCTTCTGCAGCTGATCAAAGCAGGAAAGGAGGGTGTCTTCTACCAGGCCAGGATGACCAGAGGGACGTGTAAAGGCCACAGCATGTTCACCTGTAAGATCAGCAAGGAAGGTACGGACATGGCTGGAGGTTTGCCTGCAGGCGGAGCATCCCTGAAAGCAGTAATTAAGTACTTGACATGATAAGCAGGAGGAAACTGTGATCCAAGTAAATGATTGTAAGCTGTCCTATAATGATGTTCAAATATTCTGTTTTTAAGTAGAATTAGTGGGAATCTTTAAGCTCACGTTTGTTTACATTTTTCATGCAGTTTTTGCAACACGTCATCGCTCTGGTTGATCACAAATTCCTGAAAAACAAATTGGTCTGAGCCATTTCATACATTTTTGACGTTGCGCTCGGTGTTAATATTACAGCCCCGACCATAACTTACTGTTAGCACTGCAAACGAAGCGAGTGTAGTGTAAAAGCACTGACACGTGGGATTCCAGACTTCATGAAATTGCTAAAATGCTGTGACCAGTGACGTCAAACGCAGCTCTGAGACGAGCTAGGAGAACTTTGATGGCACCAAATTCATCTTGTACAATATAAGTTTTGCCGTATAACAACAATGCATTCAATACTGTAAAAGGAAGTGGGAGGAGCTGCCCACAGAGACGAGCTCACAGAGGCTAACCACCTGAATCTGCAACTGCTCTCAGCTGTAGCTACAGTTTTAGCATCCATCGACTATTCTTTGTTGTCTTTTTCGTTTACCACTTCAGCTCAGGTGCTGAACTAAGAGTCAGGACAAGAATAATAATGAGGATTATTTTCAACATGAATCATGCTGAGCTTTAGTACAAAACTGAATACGTTCCTTTAGATTTAGCCAGTTACATCTGGGCTTTGGTTTGACCTTTGTGTCTTCCTCTACCTCAGGCGTCCGCCTCAAACACGTGGACATGGAGGTTTCCATCATGAGAAAACTGATGCACCACAAGAACATCCTCCAGTTACTGGACTGGAACACCACTGCAGGTGATGAACATGTGCATGCAGACTGCTGTTTCTCTGCTCAGGTAGAGCGGCTTGGAACCTTCTTAATCAGAAGGTTGTTGGTTTGAGCCCTGGCTGCTCCAGTCTGCATGCCAAAAAGCACGTAACCATGAAAAAGTGCTTGTATGAACGGGTAAATGTTTTATAGAGTGCTCAGGTAGAGTCGAAAGAACCAGTTTGTTTGTCATCTTCCTCCACACCGACAGATATGCTTAGTTTCCCCCCTTTCCTAACCTGTAACTACGAACTGACCTGTAACGTCTGTTGCATTCTTCTTGGAGGCGTGTCCCTCTGTAAGGCCCTACGTCTCTGACTGGGATGTTCTCTGTGCAGAGCCCTACATTCTGATCATGGAGTATGTGAGCTACGGCACTCTGAGGACCTTCCTGCAGACCAACAGAGCCCACCTGAGTACTGACCCTGAGCTGCAGAGCCTCCTCACCATTGCCTCGTACCACGTTGCTCTAGCCATGCAGCACCTGCGCTCCAAAATGGTAAGAGCATAGCAGACTGATGGGAAATATACTGGTCCCACTTTGTCCCAGTGTGACTTTTGTTTTTGACAGTTTGAACACACGTTTTTATCGTTGTGTTTACATTTAGCATTAATGTTGTTGGTTCTCTGTGCAGATTATTCACTGTGACTTGGCTCTGAGGAATGTCATGGTCAACAAGTTTCCCTGGGAGGTGAAAGTGGCCGAGTTTGGTCTCGCCCGAGACTTGACGCGAATGGCGAGCCGTCGCAGCAGTCGCTGGAGAAACCCACGTGTAAGATCGCAGTACGCACACACAGCATCCTTTTCTCACAGTCCTCGGACTGCCGAACAGCTTTGCAGCACATTTTCAAATTCAACCATCTTATTTGTGGATGATCACGTCCTCCGTTCGTGTTTGATTCCCAGTGAGAATCCAAAGTGACCCAAACGTTTCCAGCTTTGCTCCCGCGCTGTAGTTTCACTCTCACTGTAACATCAGTGCATGTTTGAGGTTTGAGCAGAGTTTGAACAAAGTCAGCCACCGTCACATCAGCTGATCTCAGCACCAGCCTCAATGAGCTCTGCTCCATTCATACGAGCTTCTACAGAAGTGCTTTCTGTCCGACGTGTGCACACATCTGTACTCAGGAGAGAATCTTTGAGTCAGATGTTGCCTGAGGATATTTGGTGTTTATATTTAGCAGATGACCTGCTCCACATCCTGAGTTACAGCCAGTCATGCCTTTGTACAAGCTATTGGAGCCGTCCACAGTTACTGCGCGTCTTTAGGCCGCTTCGCACCCCCTCCTCCGCCATTGTTTCTCCTTTTATGTAATTTCTGACTTAATCACTGTCTGTAGTTGCTGGTGCCTTGCTTTGTTGCTGCTGTTCCTCTCCCCACCTCCAGCTTTCGATGTGTGCACATGGAAGAGCGGGGATGTCCCAGAGATGAGCCACACCAGCAAATCTAAATGACCGCGGATGTAAAAGGCGATCTCTCGTTAGCTAAAGTGGTCCTGACTGAAAGTGCTTCAGGACAACACTTTCAAATGTAACCTGGATATTACAAAAACAAAAAGTGTAACTGCATCTCACGTTTGGTCCGACCTGATGTGATAGGATGACCTTTGTTACTGGTTGAGCTACAAATGTAGTGAACTCTTTTTGAGCCCAGTTTGAAACAGACTTTGCTTCTGTGTTACTGCACGTGTGCAGGAGATTTAGCAACATCCTTTTCAACAGGAAACTGTGGTGCAGAAAAAGACCAGCAGTAATGGTGTCGTGCATTTCCTCCACGATCTTTTTAGATGTCTAAAATTGTCCCACTGACATAGTTGAAAATATCACCTTCAAGTTTTGGTGAAATCACTTTTTCCATCATGTGTAAATTGTGCAGCAACGTGTACCCCTGCGCTGGTACCCCCCAGAGTACTTCAAGAACAACTACTACAGCTACAAGGGAGACGTGTGGGCGTTTGGCATCGTGCTGTGGGAGATGCAGACATTTGGTGAGTGGGAGGTTTGGGCTGCCCTCTGACCACTGGAAATCATGACTTCTCCTCTACTTGTTCAGTAATATGTTCCAAACGTGCTCTTTGTTGAAGAGCGGCCTTGTGTTGTGGTGGCTCCGTGTTTTGGTTGAAAGTCATTACAACGGGCCGCTGTTCACTCCGGCCAGAATAAAATGGAGGAATTAAAAGCTTGTTTCGTCTACCGTGATACAGCCACAGTGTATTAGCAGTGCTGAAATGAAATAACACAACATTAATGTAAGCACAAATATCAACATAAATTGACTCTGGAAAGTTGTGTCATTGGTTACGAGTACATCTCTGAACAGAGGTGGAAACCTGGCGCCTTGTCACCAGCATCCAAACACATGAAGAAGCTGACTGAAGCATCCTGTCGTCCTACTTTTGTCTGACTTCGCTCTCCAGTTCAGTCGTATGACATTTAAAACGTTAGCTGTCCTGTAAGTCTACAGTGCAACTGCAATAGCTGCACCTCGAGGCAACTGTTGTGGTGATTTGACTCAATATAAATACAGCTGAATTGAATTACAGTGTATTAATAACTCGTGGACCCTGCAGTGTTTGTGCGGTTCTTTGTAGCGATTATGAGTTGGATACTTTTATCTGTCTTACTGTAAATTACTAAAAGTCTGCAGTCCACACCCACACAGGGATTTCTATTACACAGTGATAGAAATTGTGATATGAATACATTTTCAGGTACGCTGCCGTATCCAAACCTGGAGACATCAGAGCAAGTGGTGTACCACATCTGTATGGGTCACAAAAACACAAACCCGGAAGGCTGCAGACCAGAGATGTAAGTGAGAACTGCCTTTAGGTATATTGGTTATTGATATATGTCAGTTAAGTTCGATTTATTTCAGCTCCCCCCTGTCACAGTGGGTCCCTCAGCAGGCCGTGCCACGTTTCATGTTTCGTGATGCAACCCCACATGTGTACTCTGCTGCAGTAAAGAGTAATACTGCTGTTCTCAACAGAAGAATCATCCTCGTAATGAAATCAGCTGTTACTCAGAGTCAGGTTTCATTGAGCTTTGTTGAAACACAAACATCATCTTTCAGGTTTCTAGCAGAGTAATGCTCACGTGTCACTGTGAGAGACTTCAGAGCAAATCTGAAGCTGCTGCTTTAAAGAACACAACATGACATCATAGCATCAATATTCAATACATAAACTGTTGCTGAAAATCAGAAAAAATCCAACTTTATTTCTACTTTAAAAACAACAAAGTACTTTCCAGTAAAAACAGAGATAAAAGTTAAGAAATCAAACATTAATCAGACAAAGAAAATTAAATAATAATAAGATAATAAAATAAAAGATACACTTGAATTAATAATTAGATAATAAATACAATTAAAGAAATAACAAAGATTGAAAGTGACCAAAAAACTGACTAAATCTGACCAGAAGCTGGTTTTTCCTAAAATGCCTCAGAGAACATGTGTGTTTTTAAAAGAGATGTAAATATGCCTAATACAGAGGGCCAACGTATCCCATAATCTGGGGGCCACGACAGCAAACGCTCAGAGGTACGTAGGAGCCAGGAGAACAACAAACTTTTAAAGTCAATTCTAAGACGGACGGGCAGCCAGCGTGTCCCTGTCAGCAGGCGAGCAGCAATATCAACATCCAAAATTTAAGAACAATTGTTGACAAATCAAAGATATCTGGTAGAACTCAGAGGAGGACACACGAGGCGCAGTCGGCGAGTTATGACACGCAGTCAGCAAATGACAACGTGTCATACGCAAAGAAACAGCTGGAAAACAAACTGCAGAAGGAACAAGATCACTCGTGCAAACCAGAGGTTACGAACAGCAGGTGCACCGGGGAGGCTGATTGGCTAATTGTAACGGCCAAATAAGCAGAGAGAGTTCTAACAAAGGGGGGAGTCAGCCTCACCCAAGGAAGGTAGGAATACACCTCGATCCCGTTAGCTTGGCAGAAATCTAAAAGACCCATCAACATCTGTGTAAAACCGCTAAAAAGCTGTCAGGAGCACTTTGTCGAGCCTCATGGCTCATACAGAGTTTTGTTTTCAGGAGAATATTTAATGGAGTTATGCTCAGAAAAACAAAATCATGTCTTTTGTGTGTTGTGCTTGTGATGGGAGTGTGTTTAGGAGGGGGAGGTGTCATCAGAACACGTGTGTAGATGACTCACAAAGTAAAACTGAAAGCGACTGTGTTCTGCTGGACGTAGCTTTCCGACCTTTTTCCTCCTTTAGCTTAATTTCGGTTCAACTCGTCCCCCCATCAATATCTAAACTGGATGAGTCGCATTCAGGCTCTGCCAGTCCCGCACCATTCCTTATGTACCATCCTCTTATACCTCAGGATGATAGTAACTATGACAGAGAATCATGGACTGTGTATCACTGAGTGGCCTCTGACCTCACAGACTTCACATCATGCGAGACTGCTGGCAGGAGCCGTACACCCTGAGGCCCTCGTTCACAGACATCGTCTGCATGCTGGAGAGCATCATGGAAAACGATGCGGTAAGCAGCAGCATGTTTTAAGCTCTTCTCTCTTTGTTATGATCTGTAAACATCACAGCATAGCCTTTGTGGTGCTGCGATATTCATCACACAGCATTAAAGTCCTGACAAAAACGCGACTATATTAAGTGTTTCCACAGTATTGTCAGAGTAAACTCCTCAGTCTCTCACTTAAATACTCACTGACGCGATAATTCTGTTGAAATGAATTCAATCAAACAGAAAGGTAACGTTTGAGTTTCACTCAGCTTTTGCTTCATCGTGTTTTGGTTATTAAATGCACCCACATGTAGTTGAATTGTGTTTATAGAGATTATTTTCTGAACTTTCTCCCAGTTTGAACCTGCAGATAGACAAACATGTGTGAGATAAACTGTGTTCTTCTTTGCAGGACTACGTGGATGTGGAGAATCCAGAGCAGGTGGTGACAGATGAGGCCGAAATTCAGGAAAACAATCGTTTACGAGCAGCGAGTGTCAGTTTGGACACTAATTTTTAAACGGGTACTTTAAATCATGCGTGCAGATTTCAGGTGGGCTTAATTCCTGCTGAGTAAATGAAAGGAGCAGAAAACTTATCACAACAGTCATAATGTGCATGTTTGTTCAAAAAGGATTCTTTTAAATATATACCTGTGGGTTTCATTTTCTGTATTTTTATATTCTTATATTATTTTTCATATATAAAATATTAGTTTATATATAAAACCAATTTTTGTGGTAAACAGAATCAAACTGTGTGATCACAGTCTGCCGACTGTACGCTGAAGACTGTCACATTTCAGGACTTTGTTTTTGTGAATGTATCCTAACAGGCGCACACTTCAACTTCCTCTGACAACAGACACAAATACTGACACATTACCAGCTACACACGGGACCACTGAAGGCTGAATCATGCCAGTGTGTGCAGCCACGCAGCCTGAGTAATACTAAATGAGAAAAGTTGAGAATAATTATTTGAAAGCAATGCAGAGAGCCTCACTTCATAATCATTCAGTGTGCACTGATTTGTTACCTGGAGTCTAATTGTTGTGTTTTCTTTACAAGGATGTTTCATAAACTGTTTGCAGAAAA